CACTGGACCTAAAGTCCAAAAACCCAATATATCAGTGTAATATGAAGCTTGCTTCAAAATGGGAGTAATGAAATCCAGCTTAGTGGAAGAATTGAAACGAAAGATGTAAAACGGTTTGTGGGATTCTTGGAAAAGTATGTTTATGGTTTTAAGCTAAGTTATAAATCGGTATAGCTGAAAATTTGAATTTCCCGACACTTCGTTGGAAGTCTCCTACATTGAATTTCAACGGAATCTGTGAAATGCTTTGTGAGATACATGGAGACAGAGCCCATTTATATGGCCTTATGCAGACTGAGCTTTGTTATGGATCGGTATGGCTGAAAATTGCAATTCTCCCACCACTTTAATGAAAGTCTTCCATATCGAATTTTAAGAAAATCTGTTGAACAGTTTGGACCGTGGTACTTGGTCACAGATGGACATGTGTCACCTCCACACGACGCATTCTACTGTATAGAACATCTAAAATAAAAAAATAATCTCGAATCGTAGTCACCTGGGCCAACTCCGGAAATGTTGCGGTATGAAATACAAATCACAGTGGGCAGTAACATAATATTAAGTGTAAAGTTTTGTTCTGTTACACTAATTGCTATTGTGGCACGCAGTTTTGTATCACTTGTAGCACCGGCTGCCCTAACCGACTTTTTTTTTCCTTGTCGAATGCACCGGGTACATTATCGCAAATTTATCCTATATCATTGTTGGTCACTTCTCGTTTAACGCTGTGTAACGCATTCATTTGATACAGTGGCAGGAAAACAAGAAATGATAAGTATAATAGTTCAGGAGAAGCATTGTTTTAGATTTCATACCACGATGCTGAGGAGAATATATGGGCCTGGAAAGTGAAGAAGTGACCAGTAGCTGGAGCACATTTCTTAATGAGAAGTTTCATCATTTTAATTCTTCACCACGCGTGACTAGGATGATCAGATACAGGAAAATGAGAAGACGGGGTCAGCAGTACTCATGGTAGAAATGAGAGGTATACACAGAATTTTAGTCGAAACCCTGAATGGGATGGAGCACTTGGAACGTGTAGGCGTAGATGTGAGGATAAAATTAAAATTGATTTTGTGGAAATAGGATATCATGTTGACTTTGTTCATCTGGTGCGAGATAGGGACCAGCCCTGGGCTGTAGCTAGTATGGTAGTGAACATTCTGTTTCATAAAGGACATAAAATTTCTTGACTGACAAAGCGCTTTGGAGTTAGGCGAAAGTTGTACCTTGGTACTATGAAATTGAGGAAGGCAAGCTGTTATATGTGACGCAGAAACCCCCAACTCGTGCCGACAAAGGTAGCGTTGTTGTCACATCTTTAGCAAACTTAAACGCCCAAGTGGTAGGTAGGAACATTATGGCAGTGGCGTAGTGTTCTCGGATAAAACACAACTATCAAGGCTCCTGCGCCAAGCCCAAAATGGAGTGAAGCTGAAATCTCTGTCCACTGAGGCGCTAGCAGACGCCTGCTACGGTGATGCAGCAGCAACATGACAAATTACACACGCATACAATCTCTTTCTTCTGCGTTAACTTGTTACCGGTGCGCCATTTGGGAGTTTCTTCGCTGTAAGACAGAGTATTGGGCATACCAGCAGTGAAGGCAGCATGTGGCAGCATTATTTACATTATTTCGTGAAACATGACATTAAATTCTGCAACTTATAAACAGTGGTTCCTAGGACCATTATGCGGGACACATCGTACGGCTGCCTGCACAGGGTATAGCACTCCTCTTTTTTTGTAAAGTGTTTCAAGAATAGTAGAAAATAGAAGTATAACCTAGAGATCGTCTGTCGGCACTCCTGTATCTTCTCCGAATGTACTGAATGGATTTCGATTAAAAGTTGTATTTAGGGTATTAAATATTTCTGCGAAGGGCGTGAAATATATTGAGTGAGCGACAGTCGGCTTCTGAAGAAGTTTTCTGCTCGGCGAACTTATCTGCTATCTGGTGGGCTACAGCAAAAGTAAAGGATCTGTGCAAGTATATCACATGTACTTTCTCTTATATGATTTACCCTGACCCATCTTGGAAACGAAACAGATTGTTGCTATGGCAGACCATTGTGGTTATTTAATACTGAACGACAATGAAATCCATTGGAGCCATATAGCCGGTTTCGGCGCAGTCGGCATTTTGTGTGTGGGCCCCTAGTGCGCATGCCTATATTTTCCTGTGTACTTTTATTTAGAGAGGTGGTCGCCATAAGTTACTGGAATTTAATCTGAATCATTGGAGCCGTTTTTTTCAGAAAATCGCAATTTTGTATTTTTAGGGCCCCTTTGAAGGGCACCTGTTTTTGGAGCTGAAACGTTAATATTCGCAAAGCTTCAACCTAGGTTGGATAAACCTCTAAATACCGAAAATGAATAAAATTGCTCATTGTTCAGGCACGAGCGAGGAGCACATCCAGACAGCCTAGCAAGAGCCACATTTTCGTGTACAGGGGCGTGGGTTCTCAACGCGTAAAACCATCAGAATCTTTGAGATCGATTTCTTCACTGTCACAATACATAAATATATAAATAAAACTTAATATATTGGAAAGGAGTTCTATTATAGCTTCATGCGAATTAGGTATTACAAGTATACTGGACCAGTGCAGATGAAAATTAAATTCCCATGTCAAATAATTCTAAATCCAAACAGCTTTGTTTTAAAGCAACAGATTGCTTCTGGACATGGCGCATGAAGTATGAAACATGAGGTCGCCATATTGTTCTCCTTTTATGCTGTAGAAGAATATTTTAACGTGGGAAGGTATAGGCCAGTGTAGTCTCTGTTGCGCAGTAGTCGACTTGCTCAGATCCTTAGAAACATCCAAAATAAATTTTTGTAGGCAAGTTAAGAAGAGTTGAAGTTGTAATATGTATAAAACCATGGTTACAAGGCAATAAGAGAACAGTCAGTCTTGGTCGGAGCTTGGAGACAGCCGAGTGCAGGCATCTGTGTAGATGTGACCCAGAGAACACTGTGAATGACAAGTTGGTTCAGTGCAAGATGCAAAAAGAGGACAAAGTAGTGGCATTACAGTGAATTAGTGGTGGACAGGACAAACTGACATCAAGATCATTAAGTGGCTCCTTATGGTGAGAGTAATTTTTCTAAATAATGGTAAATGTTACAGTATTGTAATTCATAGTGGTAGTTCAGGTATCATCAGACTGTGTAGTATGGCAAACATGCTGTAATTTGAAACATTTGTAAAATTAGGCTTACATAATGGTTTGCAGAACTGAACCCTCATGTATGTCAGGGATTGTCTGTATACACATTTCTTAAATGGAGTCTGTGTTCTTAGATTTGAATTTGTCACAGCATTGACTTTGAAGAATTACCGTCTTTGGGATATGATGCCATGTAGCAGACTCTGCATGTGCTTCTTGCCGGTTTGTTTCTTGGCTTACTCTTCAACCCAGAAGATGGAGGAGATACATCCCTCAAAACGTTGGTGAACTTCTGCTCTACACAGCCTGTGTTCATTTTGTATTGATCTTTGGGCTACATTTTTATTTTTTAAAGAATTCCTAAATAAAACTGATAGCTGCATACATGACAGTAATTGCCCATGAATCTTCAGGATCTACTATTATATTCCGTGTTAAAAGGGAGACAAGATTTGTAGATTGCTTGGTTTGCAGATTGTTAACAACTTTGTACCAGCATCAGATGTTATTTAGTGTCAGGTGAAATAGCTCACAGTAATGTGGATAGGACTGCGAAGGGGCACCTGTGGTGTATTTCAAGGGGTAAACCCAGGAGCAAGGAACTTGAAAAGAACCCAGATGTGCCGTCAATAATCCAGACTTGCTACATGCTGGCACTCTTTACTAGGCCAGCCTGCTCAACAGTATCACAGTTGTTTCCTTCCTTCCTTAGCATTATCTACCTACATTTTAACTTTCCTGAACTCCTCTTATTTTCTGTATATCTAATGTGAAGCAAATGATGCAGTTGATGGATAAGTGAAAGATGTTAAGCAAATACCATGAACAACTTCTGCATGACTGACACGCTATTATTTTTCATTCTGATCTTGCAGGCATGCTCAATCCATTCACAGGATTCTTGAAAGAATATTTCTCTGCATGACAGCTGCCACATTACACAGTTTCCAAATTGAGGGACTGGTGCCAGACTAAACGTCCATATCTAGGGCAGAATTCAAACCCTCAGTTACAGCATTTGCTCTGTCGAGCCCCCCCCCCCAATCTCTGGGTGAATAGCTTGAAATAACAGAGGCTTGCAGATTACAGCAGCAGAGATGTAAATAAGTATGTAATTAACATATGACCAAATGAAAAGGTAAACATGTTGGTTTTTTGGCCTCCATCTTCTGTAAAGAAGACCTCTTTTATGTTGTCACTCAAATTCAACTCCTTACCCCACCTAAAGACAGTGCTTTTAGTGCATATTAGATACAATTTAATAGTAGTTCTTGTAGTTTGTTGTAATTTTTTAAGTGACTGGCATTTTTTGTAAGAGCAGAATTAAAAATGCCGATCACAGTAGCTGCGCTGTCTAAGACAAGAACTGTCTTCGCTTGCTCAAACGCTGAGATTGTGTTCGAATCCCACCTGAAGCCATGGATGTCTATATTGTTTTAGTTTATTCTGTGTTTGTGTTTATCTGTTTGTAGGTAGAGGCCTTCTGACAGGCTGATCCCCTGTCCAGGGAGTCCTACCGACTGTGTAAAGGCTCAAGAAACTTAAAAAGTGGCCAAGGCCCAACAAAGGGCTGTAGAGCCATAATAATAATAATAATAATAATAATAATAATAATAACAACAACAACAAATTAATTAAAATTAAATATGCATTAAGTGTATGACCAATGAATTACCTTGCAGTACAGTCCAGTCAGGGTTAATTAAATTTAGTTGATGAGTATCTCTTGATGTTTGTAGTTTGATCAGAAGATGTACTCAAAAACAGACAGGGCAGCTTGCTAAATTAGTAGTTTGCTGATTGTTTCTCTTCTGTTCCAGGGTGTTCAAGAAAAGTTCTCCAAATGGTAAGGTGAGTGAATAGTCATGCAGAGTGAAAAGTAGTGTGAACAAGGGTTCTGTGGTGTGTTTCTGAACATACACACATCTAAAGATAGTCTTTTCCTTAGAAGATTGTAGAGTTAATGTTTTTTTCCTCCCCTTACCCACATTTAAATTTGTTTTGTGTACTCAGTGAGAAATGAAATTGCTACAGTTTATGGCTAGTGTACAGACTGTTGAGCATCATGTTACATTTAGGGAAAAATATTATCTTTCTAAATATGTGATTTTGAAACCTTCCACCATAAATGTCTGAATGCACTGTAATACAAGGTGTTCTTGAACATAAAGATATACACAGTTACTGCAGGACTGATAGAATCCTGTGCAAGACTTACTGAGCTTGGTCAGTCAACTTCATATTTCAATTTTTGAATATCCATTTTAATATTTTCCCCCATTCCATACAGTCTCTTTCCTTGAGATTTTCCTACCAAAATGTTGTATGCTTTTATAATTTCTCTTAAGCTGCAGTATATTCTTCCAAGCTTCATCCTTCATTTTAACATTTTGGAGTACATGCAGATTGTAAAGCTCTCCTGTAAAGCTTCTCCACTGCTCTTTTGTTTTGTGTGTGTTTTGCAGATCACTGTTTATCTGGGCAAAAGGGACTTTGTGGACCACATAACACATGTAGATCCTATAGGTAAGAGAAATGTTAAAATATGCTGTCAGCACATTCCGTTACAAAAATGTTAATGTGTGCATTGTATCTTCTTGATGTTATTCTTGTCTAAGGAAGAAAGAAATACAGTTATAAATATATAGTAACATCACAGTGTTGCTGTAACAGTTCAGTAGTGCAGTTTTAATGACTGGATTAGATTTGAAGGACTGTACAAAAAGCACTTGATACTGTGGATCCTCAGTATATTGCACCCTGCTGTATGGCAGATACTGTCTTCCCCAATACTGATATATATGTTTAGCATTGTCCAGATTTCTTTGAAATTTTGGGTTGAATTGTAAGATTGTATTGCAGAATTCCTTGCTCTAGTGTGCAAATACAGAGGTTAAGTTCTTAGCCCATCATGGATAGGTATGTATGTTTCTGGCTTTTCTGATCAAAGTTGAGCAACATGCCAGCCCACTCATTCATGAAGCCCTTCTTGAGAAGCTGGCAATTTTGCAGCTACTTAAGAACTTCCCAGCATTTTATGGAACCCCAAGGTTCATTACCATGTTCACAAGAGCCCTCCACTAGTCCCTACACCAAGCCAGATCACTCCAATCCATACCATTCCATCTCTTCCCCTTAGATCAATTTTAATATTTGTTCACCCACCTACGTCTTGGTCTTCGTAGTGGTCTCTTTCCTTATGGCTTTCCCACCAATATCCTATATGCATTCCTCTTCTTCCCTATTCGTGCTACATGTCCTCCTGCCCATCTCATCCTCCTTGACTTGATCATTCTAATTATACTTGGCAATGAGTACAAGTTATGGAGCTCCTCATTATGCAGTTTTCTCTAACCTCTGGTCATTTCATCTCTCTTTGAGCCAAATATTCTCCTCAGCACCCTGTTCTCAGACACCTTCAGTCTATATTCCTCCCTTAATGTCAGACCAAGTTTCACACCCATACAGAACCACAGGCAAAATTATAGTCTTGTATATCCTAATTTTTATGTTTTTGGGCAGCAGATGAAGAGACAAAGGGTTCTGGACTGAATGGTAGCAAGCATTACCTGCATTTAATCCCTTCTTAATTTTCCCTGGAATCAGGTTATTCATTCCTAGATATCTGAACTGTGCCAAATTTTCAAACCATCTGTTAGCTATTGTCATGTCATGATTTTGCCCTTCATTTTGGTGATGAGACAGCAACATATACTTAGTTTTCTCTGTTTTCTCTTAGTATTCTCTCTGATAGTTTCCCAAGCTCTGTCAGTATTAACATCAATGTCTCAGTCTTCCAAAGCTGTGAACCTACATAGATAAGTCAATAAGTAAGTTACAGGTGGTTATAGAACTTAAACAAATAAGAGTATTGATTTGAAAAATGCTTTTATTTCTCAACATAATCTCCCTGTACATTGAGGCACTTGCCCCATCATTTCACAAGCCCCTGAAAACCAGCAGTATAAAATTCTTTGGTCTGCTGTCAGAACCGGCCAGTGACTTGCCTTTACAGGGAACATTTACATCCTCAGGAAACTTCCTAAGGCCATTCAACGGAAGCGAACAGGACTCCTCACCCAAGGCGTGTTGCTCTTGCATGACAACATGTCCTATACTGCCAACAAGACAAATGAGATGCTGGGAAGTCCTCGGGCATCCTCCGTATAGCCTTGACCTTGCTACAAGTGACTTCCTCGTAAACATCATCTTTCAGCTGAACATTTTCCCAATGATGAAGCTGTAGAAATGGAAGTCACCACCTGGTTCCGATAGCAGCCCAAAGAATTTTATGTTACTGGTTTTCAGGGGCTTGTGAAATGATGGGACAAGTGCCTCAGTGGACAGGGAGATTACGTTGAGAAATAAAAGCATTTTTGAAATCAGTACTCTTATTTAAGTTCTATATCCATTTGTAACTTATTTATTGACTGCTCGTATTTGAGATTTCAACACGATACTGCTCCTTATTGTCTACCTTCTTTATTTTTTCTTGAGATTGAACCTCTCCATTTGAAATCTATGTGTTGTTTGTTTACTCACTGCCAGTCTCTCCCTAACTGTTGCCACCACTGGGTACTGGTCAGTATCACAATGTGCTGCCTCAAATGACTGGGCATCAAGTATACTTGAATGCCATCTCCTGTCTATCAAAATATGGTCAGTTTGGTTATGCATCTTCCCATCAGGAGATGTCCATGTAAATTTATTAATGTTGCGATGTGGGAACATTGTACTTTTGACAATAAGATTTTTGAGTGTGGCAAAGTTTACTGCTCCAACTCCATTTTCATTACTACGTGTAATTTCATGTAAACTTTCAATGTCATTTGTTGGTTTGAAAATGTCTTCCCTCTCTACTTTGGCATTGAAATCTCCTAACAGAATTTTCATGTGGTATTTAAGGAATTTATCAAATACATGTTCTAGTTCTTCATGAACATTCAGAACAATGATATCACACCAATGACCTCTTAGTATTATGTATGACAACATATCACTAACAAACTCTACCATTTTGACTGCTGATATGATTCTCTTATGTATGAAGAAACCTGTACCTAATTCATGATTCTCATTCCCCTTTCCACAGAAAAATGTTTATTCGCCTGCTGGTTCGGTGCGATCTTTGTCCCACCCGGCCTCCTGTACTCTCACTAAATCTAACTTATATTTTGAAATTTCTTCCACCAGTGCCTGAGTGAACTAGCCGTATACAAACTTCTAACATTCCAAACAGAAAATGTTATATCCATTTTCTGTCTCTTAAATCATTTATCCAAAGAATCCCTCCAGATCCAAGGCTTCTTGAAATATTTTGTAACAAGCTTATTTTTTATGGTGAGGAGTTGTTAGACCTATGGCCATCCCCCAAGCTGGAGAACTACCCCTTGTCGGCTGTCTGCTACTTTGTATTCGATATTTTCAGTGCTACCCTCCATATCTTGAGGTCTTCTTCTCCATCCGCATCCTGAGGACACGCCATGCCATGGTGACGAGAGACCCACTTAACATGGGAGCAACATGCTAGAAAATATTAATAAAGTTGTGACATAATTAGAACAGCAGACCAATAGTGATGAATGTTTTGATTTGCTGCTTTGGATTAATGTTAAGCAGTGTGCTCTAAAATCATAGCCGTAAGTGCAGCACATTATATTACATGGCTGTTTTCATAAAGAGGCAGTAATTTAAGTAACTGGTGAAACCTAAAGGCTGAAATGTGTCATAAATTTAATGTACACATATTTCATTTACTGGATACACACACACACACACACACACACACATGCATGAGGGAATCCAAAATTAGATAAATGTCAGTTTCACATGTGATATACTGAATATAATGTTTTGAAGGTGTCCCCTGAAACCTGCATTATATTGAGGGTCCACTGTAGTAAGTTTTAAGATTATAAAGTATGAATTCTTGTCGATTCTAGTACTACTTGTAAGCCAACCACCAGTAGATATATTTATAACAAGTAAGTTTTGCAGTGATTCTTCAGTGATCATCATCATACTAGATAATTTTGCACAGTAACAGGGTTATTTTCACTTTCATTAAAGCACCTTAATTTTCTCTTTTAATTTTGTTCTGATTCCACAACTGCACATGACCAATATGTTTTGTATTTTTTGGAGACTCTTTACAAAGCTCGAAGATGGACTGGTATGATGTATGATGATGTATTTTTCATCTTCATGATAATCAGTCAAGTAGTGTCTTTAATGTTGAAGTCCATAAATGTGTATGAACACCACTAGATAATGATGTTTTTCTGATAATCTCTTGACTGCTTTTAGCCCAAAAGATGCAGTGGGGAGTTAATGTGAGCAAAATATATGTCAGAAAGAAAAAGTCAGAATAAGAATGAAGCTCTTCTGAGTATGCTGACTTTGGTGGCTGTTTCTTCTAGATGGTGTGGTTCTAATTGACCCTGACTATGTGAAGGAAAGGAAGGTGTTTGGGCATGTCCTGGCAGCATTCCGTTATGGGCGGGAGGATCTAGATGTTCTTGGTCTTACATTCCGGAAGGATCTGTACCTGGCTGCAGAGCAGATATTTCCTCAGGATGGCTGCTCAAAGCGACCACTTACACGACTACAGGTACCTCTACATTATGGACCATTTTTCCTGACTGATGTTGCTCATGGATTTTCAAGGAAGATGGTTCAGTAAGTTCCCCAGAAACAGATTAAGACCATTTCTTCCTACATCTTATCTAGTTCTCGCATATATATTTGCTACATCATCGCTTGTGATGGTAAATAACATGTGAAGTTTATACATTGTTACTAAATAAACTAGAGATTATGGTGCCATATTAGGTTGTGAATATTTTACTGTTGATACAGTGAAGGTTGACAAATGTAATGATGTGTAAGGTTATTCAGTACACAGTGTCATGAGATGGGTAGAGAACATTCTTACAAAATCATTTTTATATGATCAAATGGTGAGATTGTTGAGAATGAATTGGAAAGGAAGAGGCTGCAGTCTGTTTCACAGTACTGTAGAAGCATTTGCCTGTATAAATTATGGAACTTCTGAAAATTGGATTATTGAAGTTCAGGAAATTCCAGACAGGATAGTTTGCCTCCAGGCCAAAGTTTGCAACTAGGATCTCTCACACTTTATATAGAGATACTGACCATTGCGCTCCCATTTTGTATATTTTGTATGTACCATGTTACTTTGAATGTAAGACGCCCTTGAATTTAAGATGCATCCAGTTTTTGAATATGGGTTTTAGGAAGAAAATTAGAAAGGTGCACATTCCTTGAAATTTAAATACACCTAATTTTTTTCAACAAGAAAAAATTTGTAAAATATGGGTCTTCATCATCATCAGTAATCTGTCAAGACGACAGGTCCACAGTCTGTTCCAAAACAATTCCTCCATTTAATGTGATCTAGAGCTTTCTCCTTCAAATGACAGTATCCTTTTCTGTCCCCAAGGTCATCCAGCATCTTCTTACGTCTTCTTCCTCGTCTTCTTGTCACTTCTATCCGTCCCTCTATCTTTCCTTCGATAACTTCTTTTAGAAGGCAGTTTCTGCGTAAAACATGACCAATCCAGTTAGCCTTCCGTTTTCTTATTTCGTGTAGGATATTTCTCTGCTCACTGACTCTAATTAACACTTCTTCATTTCTCACATAATCAGTCCAACTGATCTTCTCCATCCTTCTCCAACACCACATTTCAGAACTTTCCAGATGTTTCTGATCTACTGCCCTAAGTGTCCATGTTTCAGCCCCATACAGAGCTATGCTCCAAATGTAGCATTTCACTAGTTTCTTCCTCAAATTTAAGTCCAATTTGCTGGTAAAAAGATTCTTCATCTTGCTAAATGCAGCTTTTGCCATGGCGCAATCCTGGATTTAATTTCACTAGTACACATTCCATCATCTATTAACAAGCTACCCAAATATTTAAAACATTTCACATTCTCCAGTTGTTTTTGGTCTATCTTTATTGTGACTGGGGTTGGTTGTCTCGAAATTTTCATTACTTTTGTTTTCTCCACATTCATTTCCATGCCATAGCACCTTCCA